AGCCCGCCCAATGATTGGTCAAAACGGCATTCATTTCCTGCAAATGCTTCGCATTTTCCCGCAAGGTAAGATTACTCACATTGGCTGCTTTTGGCTTAGATGAATTTGGCCCTCCCCAAAATTTCACTGTTCGCAATTACGCATGGAGGAGGGCAAGGGTGTTGATAGAGCGGCCAAAGCGTAACGAATTGGACAGCATAATACTACGCCCAGAAAGCATTACAAACCATGCGAATATTCAGAAAAACTTCAAGACATACACTGTTGGCTTCCTCCCGTGGCAACCAGCATGCAATTTTTTGTACGCCCCCCCCCCCCCTGATCACGTGGAAGGGGGCCATAGAGTAACAGACTTGTCACCAAGGAAGAAAAATTTGAAAGTGGCCAAAAGCGCATACTGTAATTTGTCGGCGGTCCCATACATTTGACACCCGCCCTGTGTCAGGGGTGTGGCCAGTGGGGCCAAGGGGCTGCCCCACCCCTAAGCCAAGAGGATCATTACCCTGCCTGCCCTGGGTTCTATCTCGTTCGACTCTGTTGCCTGTTGTCTTTTTAATGAAACACTAGTTCTAATCATAGGTGGCGCTTGACACGGTCTGAGTGTTGAGTAGGTGGTGTTGATGTGTGATCGCTGGCGCCACCTGTGAGACGAAGCGAGACCACAGCGTGGCAGAGAGCAGAGAGAACAGCGAGGGGCGGAGGAAGCTTGGAGGTAATGAACGTACTGGTCATGAGCAGAATACAAGGAGAAAGGCGAGCGAGGTGTGTGACAAGCAACTAGTTAGTTGTGCGGCAATAATGCCTGGCTCGCTTACATGATTATTGACACTAGGTGGCGGTGTGGTAGCTTCGATAGACGTGCCGTTTGCATGCTTGTGGTGTGAGAATCATTTTTAGGTGCCTTGGCGACAGCCAGACGTCGTACATTACTTTTAAAGTCGGTGAAAACTACTTATTCCAAAAATCCATTGGCCTTCCCAGGACAATTTAGACTGCATAAGTATTGTCACGGTTATGTCTTCAGCAGCAACACTAGCGACTCGAAAGCTGCGATATGAAACTACCCCAACTTTAACTCACCTTCCATTGGCCCCGTGCTAAGCCCAAAATATGAGCAATTACTAAGTGTAAAGGGTAAAACCCCAACCAAAATAAGGAGCATTGATATGGTATGGCACACTTTTGATGCCCTTAACTCAAAAGGGATGATTCGATGCGTCAAATTTCTTTGATCGATGATGGGCAAGACATGTGGTCGGACAGCAGCTGCCTCAAGTGGTCAGTGGTGCATATTTGTATATTATTGTTTAGGCTGCGACGGGCTTGAAGCGCCGAGGACCTGTATAAATTACACGAGCATGTGTACACAAGTACCAATGTGTGTGGTACGCATTCATTTCAGATTTTTCCTTGCGGCATGTTTTTTATGGGAACACAATCGTGGCATTGTTCCGGTTTACCGGGAGCAAAGATGGTAGCTGCAGATCTCACCTCTTCAAGACGCGCTGCTCTGTCAGGCCCGCTAGGCCAATGCTAAACGGGGGCTCCACATTTGTATGGGGCTTTTAACTGAAACAGCATCCTGAATCATTCGGTGCAGTTCATAGCCCTGCCCTTCCAAGGCCTAAGCCGCTCTACCTCCTGAGTTACACGCTTGTGAAGATGTAGACTATTTCAGGGAGACTATTTTAAGATCACCGTGGTATCCATGACGTCACAACAACGGCGCCATAACAATGCCATTCCAATCCTGTCATTCCATTAGCCGTGCAGCGATGATCAAAGCCAAAAATACAGTTCGAGTGGTCATAGCTGTTTGTGAGCGCGAATTCCAGACATGAGGGCTGTCATCCGCTCAATTAATGTTATGTAACGTACGATGACACAATCAAACAATGTTTTATTGAGGGGTATGTTTACTAAAGAGGTAAACTGTATTGTCTAGAGCAGTCTTTCATTTGAAAGCATACCAATAATTATAAGTAAGCGTTTTCATTAAATATAATACTGACTTTAATATCTTCAAATGCGGAATATTCCCTTTAAAGGTCAAGACCCATGCTCACCCCCTCCGACGAACCAGAGATATTCTTCAATACATTCAGAATATTGCTGTTTGAACATCGGCTGGGAAGAGTTTGTGAAAATTACAGTAACGATACCGTTGGATTAGGGACGCTGAAACTTTGTCAACCATTGCACTGTCTGTCATCTACATTGCAATCGCACACACATTTAGGAATTCTATACCCATTTAAGATAAGATAGGCCAAGCATTCAGCACGGTACGAAGCATAAGATAAGCCCCAGGGCGCGCATAGCAACCCGGCAATGTCACCGCACCATGGGGCGGATAATCCGCCACAAGAGGCCGACAGTCCAGCAAAAACAACATCGGTAGCAATGATGGTGCCCGCTGGTCACCAGCCCACGGCGCGGGCATGCAGAGCCTGTCATTACGGCGCTGAACAGGGCGGTCTCCTAGCAACAGCAAGTTGTATACACGCACGGCGACTATCTGATCACCCATCGATTGCCGGTGTTGTCGCCACGCTGACGTCGCTAGACGGAACGGAGGCGGGACTACATTGTAACACCCCAGCAGTTGTGTGCGCCCCTCACCTCGCTGCGATAGGGAGGGGGAGGGGCGTGCGGCGCAGCGGAAGGAACGCGGCCGGCGAGACGTTGACCCATTCAGACTCCGGTATAGATAGTTTGTGTAACGACAGTGTGTTATGCCACCATTTTGTCATCTAAGTCATCAGGTCCTGCGCAAGGATCTTCTGGGCTTCGATGCGTGCCGATGCTAGTTGGCTTACATTCTGTCGTTTTTTCCTTTGTACAGGGTTATGCAGAGGGAGGAAGAGAGAAGAGAGAGAGAGAAGAGAGGAGAGAAGAGAGAGAGAGAGAAGAAGAGAGAGAGAGGAGAGAGGAGAGAGATAGAGAAGGAGAGAGAGAGAGAGGAGAGATAGAGAGAGAGGGGAGAGAGAGAGAGAGAGAGAGAGAGAGAGAGAGAGAGAGAGAGAGAGAGAGAGAGAGAGAGAGAGAGAGAGAGAGAGAGAGAGAGAGAGAGAGAGAAAGAGAGAGAAAGAGGGAGAGTGAGAGGACTCGAGGCAAACCCGACATTAATTGACTGAGCGTGAATTGCTTCGCAAGCCCGAACTTCGCAACTGCCTGACCTATATGTATTTGGCGAGCTTCGGTTCCAATCTATGCGTGGCCCCCTCGTACTAGCGAGATTTCGGATCTATTGGGCAGATTATGGCGGGTAAGGTCAAGGTCTAGTCAATGGTCTGAGTTGGAAGGACCTTCCTCATGTGGACGGAAACATCGTAAAACGTTGCTTGTGCACTGATTGATTGCAAACCATGCGACACATTTAACATTTTGCTTCATCGACATCTGTGATTTGCACGTACTTAACACTCCTACGCATTTCGATTTGGCAACGATGATAAGCCCAAAACTGAAAAAACAGTACAAGCTATTTTTGAATTAGTAGGAACGAAGCACCCTGATAATGGGACAAATACGAAATTCAGGCATTCCCCAATGCATTACAAACACAAAATAGCGTTTGTCAATCCCGTGGTACATTGAAATTTGTAACCGCGCCTGACAGAATCTTGGAGCGCCGGCAGATACAGGCGTCAATAATCCGGCGGAAAACACATGTCAGATCATAGGCGTAGGAGACTGAAGGGAGGATCAGATGCAGTGTTGCCCTACACTTTGTCCGAAGGTTTAATGTTATTACATTAAGATGACCAATGGAAAGCCTCAACCAGACAAAAAATCTTCCGGCTGCAAATATAATTACACGACGTCCCAACGGTTGTTACAAAAAATACATACTTCGATATTTGGTCCCGCCCACAGGCCTGATGTATCCGCCTCTGCATGTGTGCCCTCCTGCTGGAGTGCCGTGGCCCTCTCGTCACAAAAAAGCTTCAAAATGGCTGGGCTCTCAACCTGAGCCGCCCTGTCCAAAATGGTATTGTCGTTTTCTCGCCAGTCATTAGTCTTATCCACCAACAGCCTTTGTAAATTAAGCTTCCAAGCAGCAACGTAACAGGCAACAGACTAACATCTGTCAATGAAAACCCACGATCTTCGCGACCGACGGAAACGTCGACTCATTAAAACATAAACTATTGTAATGCCCTAAAATATCCTCTACACCATCCTAGCTAACCCGATATCTTCCATGCATACGGTAAATGGCTATTTCAAAATTGATTGAAGATAAGACCTATGTGATTCACACGTGGCTCAATAATTTACCTAGCGTGAAGTAGCGTGCTAACGCCCGCTTACTAAACCGACCATTGTCCCAAGATTGGAATCGCTGCTGGGAGATGTAGGCTATACCATGAGGATACCGATTTAAACGACGCTGCAATGCTAAATAATTGGTATATTGAGGAGCGTTAACTCAGTATAAGAACTCCGAATGCCGGAAAACCATGAGCTGAGCACCTTTCTTTCTTATAGCAAGATGGAGTATCCAACTATTGCCAGGATACTTAACATTGATAAGCAAAGTCACATAATTCCAGAGTTCCCGCTGAGCTGGGTTGGCACTGAGATGGCAAAACGAAACCAGGAGAGCGCCGAACCGACTCAGCCGCCTGAAAAAATAGGGCTAAGCGTGACGAGTAACCAAAACTAAATCTTTCGCGTGGCCTCCCACGCTGTCAGATGTCGCGGGCTCGACAGTCGTTGCTCTGTTCTAGCATGCTGGCATCGCGTGTCACCCGCCTCCACACGCTGTCGTCGCAGATAGCGAACGTCACTCGGATTGGGGGCCCGTCGGCTCGGCGCGGCGGACGCCGACGGAATCGATGGTCACCAGCGTTACTTGGCCACCGGCGATCGATGGGCGACGGCGCGCGACGGCCAGCCGTCAGTACCGGCCGGAGCCCCGCCGGTCACCGCGCGACCCCGCCGGCGACCGGCGGCCCCCGCCGACCACCGCGTGACCCCTGACCCGACGTGACCGCGCCGCTCACCGCGCGACCCTGCCGGCCACCGCGTGACCCTGCTCGGTAATAGCGTCACCCCGTCTGGCACAGTGTTACCCCTCTGGCACGAGTGGTGTGAGCTGCGGAGCCGGCGCCAGCGCGAGCTCTTGTGCCGGTGCAGGGCGGCCGGCCGTGACCGGCCAGACCACGCGAGCCACCCCAGCCGCCTGGCAGAGTCCGACCTCCCAGTCAGTGCCGGTGACCGCGGGCACGCGAAGCGGGCCGATGACAGCCAGAGTCGTGCATCTGCCGCGCTAGCATGCAGGACATATACGACTCAGCCCTGAAGCGCGAGCAGCGTCGCCGTGACTCGCGGCTCCACACAGGCGTCGACTCACTCTTCGACTTCGACGAGCTGAGGCCCGACTCCGAGGTCACGGCCAACGGCCACAAGCACTCGCCGCTCTTCGACAAGGTGAGCGGCGCACCTCGGACGTCCCAGGCGCGTGGCTCGGATCGTGACCCACCCCCTGACGTGTACACTGCTGCCGACGCCGGAGTGGCCGGTCGGCCGTCAGGCTGTGACATATAGTGGCGAGACTCCCTGTCGGTGCCGATACCCTGCCGACACCGAGTGATGCCAGGACGGAGAACCCAGGCATTCTACGACTAGTTCGCTTGGATGTCAGCGATATTTACTGTTCATCGACTGGAATACTCTGGGGCACGTTTTGCACTGTAGCAGACGTCAACCTTACAAGCCTTATCAACACAAAAATGGCAATGTCTCAACGCTGCCAAAGCCTTTGATATCAAACATGGCGATCGTTCAACGAAGGGTCCACTGTATGAGCAGTGTTCATAAAACGTGGCCATGCTCGTAAAGAGTACATCGCAAAGAAATGACTTGTGGCTGTTCTACGAGGTACGCAGACATCAGAGCGGGCAGTCTTATCTTAGGAGCATGTATGTTTTACCTATCTGCAGCATAGATACTTGCACCAACCGAGAAGGTTCTCCCGGTCTATTTAAAAAGAAGCCGATTGACATTACCTGACAGCAATGTAACCGCGAAATTCCTTGCGTCTGGTCATTGACGTTATCATGCTATCAAACCTTGATCTATCAAGATGGGCAAACGTGTGCACCTCAATTAAAGTAGCTGCGTAAATCCCATTTGTTATTACCTCGATGAAAGAGCTATGTCAGCAAGATGTCTTTTTGCGCCCAGGACGAGCAAGATGGTAACAGAAGTGTTATCAACGTGCAGAGAAGACTACGGCAAAACCCAGGAGAATGGTGCCGGACGTCTTTGAGGAATGCAAATGGGTGTTGTGAAGGCGCTGGACCGCTCTTCCTTCCCGAGGGCTCAACAGGGTGAAAATCACTAACGTGACGTTCGACAGACAGCTGCAAATCACATCGTCTGAACAACTGTCTCGTTTTTTGTCCAATAATTTACCTCGCCTGGAAAGCCTGGAAAGATCAAGCTATTGGCAAAATTCGACCAAATGGATGAATTCGTGATGATCATGCTCTCGCTAACCGTGACCAAATGGTCACGGGAAACGCCTTCTGTTTTGGGTAGATGCTGGTAACCCAACACTGCAGGAAATATTCCTGAACGTCCATCATGACTCGTCTCTGCTGCTTCAATGTTGGAGACCAGCCACCAAAAACGCGGCATTTGTCGCGCTCCCCTGTCGATTACTGGCGTACCTGACAGACGAGCAGTGCTATGATCCGTTAGTGATTTGTCGACGGTGCGTGCACTGCAGCACCATGCCGTCGCGTTCACGCGCTTAACTGTTTCGGTTACCAATATCTGACTTCAAGATGACAAGAACACGGGTAGTTCAATGGCTGACTCTCGGGCCCGCGTGACCGGCTAACACATCGGCACGCCCTTTTGTCGACACGACTGGCCGCTCTCTGTTCTCCGTTCTCCATGGCGCTACGCCGCTGTGACGTCAGACTGCCGAAATGCGGGCTCGGCTTTGACCCCTGCTGTTGCTTTTGTGCAGTTGGGAATTCTATGTCTCCACCAGTGACAGAACAAATGAGACAATGTTTGGTTGAGACTGCAATGTTACGGTGCATTTACGGATGATACAAATACATTGTGGACCGCATAGCACACTAAGCTTCCTGCTGTTGAGAATATTATGTAAATGCCACGAACGCTTGCAAGCAAATTGATTGTTAGACACCACGACAACAGGGCCAGGCCACTGCATGTGATATTTGTTCACTGTTCCATTAATACTCATTCAGCCTTCGGCCTCCCTCATTGCAACGCAGCTGCGTGTGCCGGAAATGACAACTGTATGCAGTGCTGCCGCTGCGGCTTTCCCTTTACTTTATTTTTTACTTCCGCCCACAGCCATTTTCCGGAAGGTATTGAGCTCCTTATTCTTTCGGCATTGTAAGTTGGGAGTTCCTACTCTGACAACAAAAAGCCTTCAACATGCCAGGCGGAACTGGTTAAACAACGCTATAAAAAGCATGTGTTATACTTATGACAAACGACGTTTCAGGTTGTGCCCATGGTCACCGATGACGTCAGTCGTGCTTTGATTTGCTAAAATTGATGATGAATCTTGCGAGGGTACTAGGTTTTTTTTGTTGTTGCTGCCATTTGATGAATATTCTTGAATTGTCAGGTGTATATTGAACATGGTATAAGGTTTTTAATGATGATGTCCTGGAAACCCCACAGAAAAAAATTTTCATCGTGAATTGGTAATTTCTTTTCGTCAGTCGAGATTTGGATTCACGTGGATTTTTATATTATCACTTGTTGCCTCGTCATATTCTTATCGCGTAAGTCAAGCAATGATCTCTAGGATAAAAACCCATGCCTCGTGGAAAGTGCGTGAGTGCAAAGCAAATGCTTATTATCTATTCTCACAGTACTCATAATTTATGAGGTTCCTTATCATTAAATTCATTTAGAAACCAGCTTAAATGCAAGAAAATGATCAAGTTTTTCAGCCTATTCTTTGAGAACGGTGAGAAGTTAAGACACATATTTGTTTGAATTTGTTGAGGGGCTTTTTATGAAAACGTGGGGCAATGTAAATGTGCGAAGAAATACATGTAGACATTATTATATGGAGCAAGGATGATGAACACTGGAGTTCATAGGCGCGATCCAACGAACTACACTTTCTGAAATGCACCTTTGTGCTGCCCTTCCCAGCTAAAGCTCTGAGCTTATTGCGATATGTTGACGGTTAAACCTAAAAGCTCTGGAAATAGAAACACAACACAAGACAACACACAACAAACAGAAAAGGAGCTCAACTCCCTCTAAATGATATCACGAAGTTATGCCATGCTTTAAGACCAGCTCTGCATGCACACTGCATCCTTCAGAGCCGTAGTTTTGGCGGGAGCCTGAGTTGATCCATTCATATCGTTAAGTAAACTATATACAAAAGCTTGCATTTGATCAAATGTAAAAAAGCGCGTGTCGTGAGCAGCTTGGTCGTATTCTACGCCCTAAATCACCCTTTTATTGAGGTGGGAGGAGCCGTCGGACACAATCGGGCCAACGGTTGGCCAAGCCGGTTAATTTAGGCACGACTAGGATGTTGTTGAGCACCTGGCATCATTAAAACCGCTATTCAAAACCACCATTCATCCTATTTTTTTATTTTTTTACAGAGCTTGCCTTTTTGTAGAGATTCAACGTAAATGTGACGGATGCGTCTTAATTGGGAAGTGGCGCAGGTTTGCTGGCACGTTTTGGCTTCAAAAGACGGCTGAAACATGGGGCGAGGCGTTAGGTGCAGCCAGGGATCAGCTGCATGCCTCCGACCAGAGTTTACGGCCGCTCGGTACATGCTCCCCATTTTTGACGACTGACCAGATGCACTCTTACCCTGCGCAGACGCACAAATACACAAACAGCTGACTGATGTGTCCGGAAGGCCAGCCCTCCGACTCCAGTGGCCCCAGGGCCCCGTAACAGGAGGAGACGGAGTCAAGGAACGGTCTGAATATGTCCCTGTTCACGACCTTGCATCTAACGTGAAAATACTGGACACATCAAAGCATATATTCAGATGATGTGACCAGCGCAAACCCGCCGCTGCATTCCTTACGCGATTGGAAATCCGTGGCTGCTGAGGCTTGTGCAGAATTTCGCTGTGAGAGGGGACGCAACTCAGCCTTTCCATGGAAATGGAGTTAAGAACGCCGCGGGCGCGCATACTTTGTTGCGCATGTTAAAACGTCACCACCTATTTCAATCTCCTTAGTTACGGGTCTACCTGGATTTCCAACGGGACAATTGCCATTTGCACAGCAATGCGCTCCAAAATTTGAATAACATAAGGCACGCACCTCAGGACACATTATGTACGTAGCGCCTGTGTGACGGGATACTAGCTGATCATAAATTCTTCTCAAAGCGTATTTGACGAATTCGATTCGATTCGTGAGGAAATGGGTTCCCATTGAAATATCCAGTACGGCTTGGAATATCATTCCAATAACACACGGCACTCGTGACCTTGATATGTCCTTGAGCCGACTGGCGGCACGAGCCCCAGGCGCTGACCCCGGCATCCGGCTCACAGACCTCGGAGTCACACCGCGTGCCATTGGCGTTCGCTGCCCCCCCCCCCCCCCCCCGCCTAGGTCTGTCATCGGGCATGCCACGCGGGTGTCACACCGCGTGCCACTGGCGTCCGCTGCCCCCCACCGACCAGGTCTGCCACCGGGCACGCCACGCGGGCGTCACACCGCGCGCCATTAGTCAGCCGGCGGGCCGGGCCGGGCGTCACGGGGCGTGCGGGGCCGGCGGGCGCGCCTTGCGCTGCACTTGAGCTATCGACCGGCGGCTCAAGCGAGGCCGTAGCGTGGCAATCGCTCAACAACGGCGGAGAGGCGGAGCGCCGCCGCACCGCCGCCGCGGCGCGCTCGCCCCGAAACGACGGCTCGGAAGCAGGCGAGCGGTAATGACGGCCCGTCCAAACGTCCACTTCCAGCTGCCGGCTGACGCGCGACCAAAACAGGCGACTGAGGCGACTTGACACGAATTTACAGGTCCTGATGGCCCAACTCAGTGAGGTGTCGTCATACGCAGCTGCTCTCTACCATCCGGTTTAAAGCGAGTTGCAGGTTCGCCACCGATCAGAATGTCTGGCAGGAATCGTCCCAGTGTGCCGTAGCACAATCGTCAGCAAAATAAACACCGACCGCCAGCCGATGCCCCTGGCAACGTTCCACTAGAATTCAGGCGCCCACTCACCACTGCCGCGGGGACAGAGTCAACAAAGTCCGATCGATAACCCTCGCAGCCCCCGCGTGTTGACCTTTTTCGGCTGGTCATCCTCAGTGCCTCGCCCCCGAGACATTGCCATGTTCGTGATTGTCCGTCTAATTTTAGCCAGATGATGAGAAGCTTAGTACAGCCCGACGTTCCTGAAAACGTCATAGGCCACTGCATTCGTCTCCGTGACTTTC